AAGAGGCTCGGAAGCCCCCCGGCCTGCTGAGGAGTGTTCCGAGCCTTCCCCGAGGACAGAAGAAACTGTTCAGGAGGCGCAAGGGCTTCTGAGAAGCCCCGCCACCTTCTCAGAAGGCCTGCCCCCTTGGTCTCCCCCCAGGGGCGCCGCAGACAGAAGCCGCCCTTGCCAAAACCACTGCCTCTTCGATGCAGGATCGGGACCGGGGACGCCTGTGGACGCCCGCCTCTCCCAGACCTCCGACGTCGTGTTCTTGATCACGACGTGGGCCGCCGCATCTCTCGACCCCATCCCCGGGACCTGCCGCTCGCCTTTGGCCGTCGGGCGTGTGGCCCCGAGGCACGCGCATGCGCCCCAAGAAACCAGACCTCCCGACAAACGCCCGTCGCGCTTTCTCGTAGCGCTTCGGACCTCTGGGCCTGCGTTCACCAGCCCTTCCCTGCGCGCACCGGTGGCAGCCAGGTGTTGCCAAAGGCGTCTCTGGCACAGGGTGCTCCTGGGATCGCCGGGGAGGCCCAGGTGACCTCCAGGGCGCCCCTCCCGAGGCCCAGAGGGCCCCAGGGGCTCCACAAGGGTGCAAAAAGCCAGGGTCAGCTTGGGCCAGGACCACTTCAAGCAATATCCGATTCGGCGACATGCAATAGTAACCCTAGGCACGAGTGATCTTTGGTGCGCGGCTTTAGGGGGAGGCCAAATCCAGGCGTGCCAGCCATAGCTGGCGGGACTTCTGCGGGCCCGCACAACAGGTCAATCTAGCGAAGTTTCCGATGCAGGACCACCCAGTCCCTCTCCTCCCATGAGCCCCCCCTGCCTCCTCCGCCTCCTCCTCCCCCTCCTCCGTCCTCAATCCTCCATCCTCCATCCGCCTCCTCCTCCTCCTCCTCCTCCTCCTCCTCCTCCTCCTCCTCCTCCTCCTCCTCCTCCCTCCTCCTCCTCCTCCTCCTCCTCCTCCTCCTCCTCCTCCTCCCCTCCCCCTCCTCCTCCCCCTCCTCCTCCTCCTCCTCCTCCTCTCCTCCTCCTCCTCCTCCTCCTCCTCCTCCTCCTCCTCCTCCTCCTCCTCCTCCTCCTCCTCCTCCTCCTCCTCCTCCTCCTCCTCCTCCTCCTCCTCCTCCTCCTCCTCCTCCTCCTCCTCCTCCTCCTCCTCCTCCTCCTCCTCCCCCTCCTCCCCCTCCTCCTCCTCCTCCTCCTCCTCCTCTCCTCCCTCCTCCTCCTCCTCCTCCTCCTCCTCCTCCTCCTCCTCCTCCTCCTGGCAGCGGGGCCCCGGAGACCCCGAGTCCGGGGGGGTCTCCGGGGCGCTCGGCGCGCGGCGCGGGCCCTTTCCCGCAGGCCGCCGCCCGCCCCGCCCCCACTGTGCGTGGCCGCGAACGCGGCGGAGAGGTTGGGCACCGCCTCGACACCTCCTGGCCGGGTGCCAGACCGCCCAGAAGGTCTGGGAGGCTTGGCCCCCGGCCGGATAGCCGCCCTGCTCCTCCAGCTCGGGCGGCAGTTCGGCGCTTGCCTGCGCGCAGTCAGTCGCCGCCGCCCAGCGCCGGCGCCGCCGCCCGGCCCCCCGCCGCAGCAGCCCGGCCAGCTCCCGCAAGCGCCCGGCGCCCTCCTCCGCCGGCAGCGTCGCCGCCCCGCGCAGCGTCCCCGGCGGCCGCCCGCGCCGCCGCCGCCTGGCCCGCCTAGCGGGTCCTCGCCGCGCTCCGCGCCGGCGCCGCAGGCCGGCGGGCGCGCGCCTAGCTAGCGCGCGGGCGGCGCGCCGCCGGCTCGCCGCCGCCAGCCCCGCGGCGCACCGCCCCGCGTGCAGCGAAGCAAGCGGAGCGGAGCGCCTCGGCGTTGCCCCGCTGAAGAGTCGCCGCGAGGCTCTGGCGCGCCGCCGCGAGCGCCTCCGCGTCTCCGCGCGCCCAGGTGCGCAAGAGCGCCTGCGCCTCCTTCCCAGCGCGCCCGAGGGCCTCCAGCGCGAAAGCCGTCAGCGCTGGGCCCGGGTAGCGCGCGTGCTTGCGCTCCTCCCAGGCAGCGGCAGCGGCGCCGTCCCGGGCGGCGCGGCCCCGGCCCGCCGGCGTGTTCGCGCCGAGAGAGGCGTCAGTAACCACCACGTCGACGTAGGCAACGCCGACCGTGGGGTCTGTGAAGGCCACGTCGAGGCGAGCGGCCTCCACGGTGCCGTCAGGGCGCGCGCGGTCCCAAGCGGGCACGAATTGCTCCGTGGCCACGCCTGTCGCGCCGCGGGCGCCGAGCCAGCGGGCGAGCCAATCCCGGACGCCGTCGTGGCGCTGGATCGTGCCGCCGCCGACGTGGCAACCCAGGCAGTGCCCCACCGTCAGGTCGGCCCCGCAGCGCGTGCCGTCCTCCCTGCACCGGCAGCAGGTGGCGCTGGCGGTCGCTGGCAGCGGCAGCTGGAGGCGCAGCGCGAGGGCTGGGAGAAAGTGCGCGTCCGCCAGCACGTGGTCCTCCGCAGCTGGCGACTGGACCCAGCTCCCCGCTCCCTTCCCGCTGGCCGAGCGTAGCTGCGCTGCCCGGTCTGGTGGCAAGGAGCCCAGGAGCCGCTGCCGGCGCGCGTGCTGCTCCGGCGCCGCGAGGGCGCGCTGTGCTTTCGCCTGTGGCTCCGCGGCGGCGCACAGCCAGGTCGCGCCGCGCACCTGGAGAGCGCGGCCCGCCCCCTCGGCCGCCCCCCACGCAGCCGGGCAGGCGAGCTGGAAAGCCTCGAGGCTGGAGAGTCCGAGCTCACTGCAGACGCCCGCCAGGCACGCCTGCCAAGCCCCCACAAAGGCGGGCAAGCGGCGGTGCGCGAGGCCCTGCAGCCCGAGCCCGCCGCCAGCGCAGGGCAGGAGGGCCAGGTCGCGCGCGTCGTCATCTCCATCCTCCTCCTCCTCCGCCATCTCCTCCTCCTCCTCCTCCTCCTCCTCCTCCTCCTCCTCCTCCTCCTCCTCCTCCTCCTCCTCCTCCTCCTCCTCCTCCTCCTCCTCCTCCTCCTCCTCCTCCTCCTCCTCCTCCTCCTCCCTCCTCCTCCTCCTTCTCCTCCTCCTAGTCCTTCTGCATCCTCCATCTTCCATCCTCCATCCTCCTCCTCCATCCTCCGTCCTCCATCCTCCATCTCCTCCATCTCCCATCTCCTCCTCCTCTCCTCCTCCTCCTCCTCCTCCTCCCTCCTCCTCTCCTCCTCCTCCTCCTCCTCCTCCTCCTCCTCATCACCATCATCATCATCATCATCTCATCATCATCACATCATCATCATCATCATCATCATCATCAGCAGCAGCAGCAGCAGCATCATCATCATCATCATCATCATCATCATCATCATCATCATCATCATCATCATCATCATCATCATCATCATCATCATCATCATCATCATCATCATCATCATCATCATCATCATCATCATCATCATCATCATCATCATCATCATCATCATCATCATCATCATCATCATCATCATCATCATCATCATCATCATCATCATCATCATCATCATCATCATCATCATCATCAATCATCATCATCATCATCATCATCATCATCATCATCATCATCATCATCATCATCATCATCATCATCATCATCATCAATCATCATCATCATCATCATCATCATCATCAGCAGCAGCAGCAGCATCATCATCATCATCATCAGCATCATCATCATCATCATCATCATCATCAGCATCACATCACATCATCATCATCATCATCATCATCATCATCAGCAGCATCAGCACATCATCATCATCATCATCATCATCATCATCACACAGCATCATCATCATCATCTACATCATCATCATCATCATCATCATCATCATCATCATCATCATCATCATCATCATCAACAGCATCGTCATCATCAGCATCATCATCATCATCATCATAATCATCATCATCATCATCACCATTATCATCATAAGCAGCATCATCGTCATCATCATCATCATCATCATCATCAACAACAGCATCATCATCACAATCATCATTATCATCATCATCATCAGCATCATCATCGTCATCATCATCAGCATCATCATCAGCATCAGCATCAGCATCAGCATCATCATCATCATCATCCTCATCATCATCATCATCATCAGCGACATCATCATCATCATCAACAGCATCGTCATCATCAGCATCATCATCATCATCATCACCATCATCATTATCAGCATCATCATAATCATCATCATCATCATCATCACCATCATCATCATAAGCAGCATCATCGTCATCATCAGCAACATCATCAGCATCATCATCAGCAGCATCATCATCAACAGCATCAGCATCATTATTAGCAGCATTATCAGCATCACCATCATCAGCATCATCATCAGCATCATCATCAGCATCATCATCCCCATAAACATAATCATAATCATCATCATCAGCATCAGCATCATCATCATCACCATCATCATCGTCATCATCATCATCATCATCATCATCATCATCATCATCATCATCATCCCCATTATCCTCCTCCTCCCCCTCCTCCTTCTCCTCCTCCTCGTCCTCCTCCTCCTCCTCCTCCTCCTCCTCTTCCCCGTCCTCCTCCTCATCCTCCTCCTCCGCCATCTCCTCCTCCTCCTCCTCCTCCTCCTCCTCATCCCTCCTCCTCATCTCCTCCCCTCCCTCCTCCTCATCCTCCTCATCCTCCTCCTCCTCCTCCTCCTCCTCCTCCTCCTCCTCCTCCTCCTCATCCTCCTCCTCCTCCTCCTCTCCTCCTCCTCCTCCTCCTTCCTCCTCCTCCTCCTCCTCCTCCTCCTCCTCCTCTCTCCTCCATTTCTCTCCCTCCTCCTCCTCCTCCTCTTCCTCCTCGTCCTCCTCCTCCTCCTCCTCCTCCTCCTCCTCTCATCTCCGTCTCCTCCTCCGTTCCTCCGTCCCCAATCCTCCATTTCCGCCTCGTCCTCCTACTCCTCCCCCTCCTCCTCCTCTTCCTCCTCCTGCTCCTCCTCCTCATCATCATCATCAGCATCATCAGCATCATCAGCATCATCATCATCACCACCACCACCATCATCCTCCTCCTCCTCCTGCTCCTCCTCCTCCTCCCTTTCCTTTATATCCTCCATCTCTTCATCCTCCTCATCCTCCTCCTCCTCATCAGCATCATCATCATCATCAGCATCATCATCAACATCATCATCATCATGGTCATCATCGTCATCATCATCATCATCATCATCATCATCATCATCATCATCATCATCATCATCATCATCATCAGCAGCAGCATCATCATCATCATCATCATCATCATCATCATCATCATCATCATCCGCATCATCATCATCATTATCTGCCTTCTCCTCCTCCTCCACCTCCTCCTCCTCCTCGTCCTCGGCGGAGGAGGAGGAGTTGGAGTGTGTGTGTGTGTGTGAAGCTCTTCAGAGAGGTGCCAGCCTCTAGCAGCAGTTCGCAGCACTGGCCTTCGCTGGGCTCCTCTCTAGAGTGCGCCGCGGCTCGTATCATGGCCGCGCGTGGCCTCGAAGGCACCAGGCTCCCACCCACCCCCTTCAACGGCTGGGTTGCCACGATTTAAAGACAGGCAGGCCGAAGGGGCGGGGCTGTAAACGGGAGAAACAAGCTAAAGACACGACCCAGGCCCCCAGGACGTCCGAGCGGGCAGGCTCGCTGGAGCCGCGAGGGAAAAACCAGGACGCCAGAGCGACAAAACCTGGGCGCCAAGGCCCCGCACCCCACAAAAACGGGACGCCAAAAAGTTTCGCGGGGGGCTCAGCGCTGAAGGCCCAGGAGGTTCAGGATCGTCGAAAGAGGGAGGGGAGTCTCAGGCGAGGGGTGGGGTTATTCTGACCTACTCTAGATTCTCTGGGCTCGCTGTGGCTCACAAGTGGCTCAGGTCTCCTCTGAGTCGGGGGCGCGGGAAGTGACGGAGTCGTAGCCTGGATCGAGGAAGGAGGTACTCTCTGGGATCCCCTAGGTCGCAGACTCGCCGAAGTCCTCTGGATCCTTTGAGCCCACGTCGGCCTCGAGGGAGTGGTAGTATCTCTGTCCGTCGTAGCAACAATCACATCCCGTCGAGGTGCAGCTGGAGGAGGCGGGCGTTGTGACTCCTCGGCGGTGTGCCATGCTTGTGCACCCCCCCCCCCAGCTGCACCATAGAGCTGACCACTGTATTCTCGAGCGTGGGAGGGTCCACCGCGATCCAGATCCTCGTCATCTCTCCATTGTGAGTGTTTTGCATCCGACAGTGGCGTATGTCGTCCGCGAGGATGCCGTTGGTCGGGCGCTCCTGCCTGACCTTCTGCTGATACTGCGTAAGCGCCGCCAGGTTCTGCTGACCTATCTGTTCGCCCTGTGCGACGAGGGCGCCCACCAGCGCCATCCACACGTGCGGGTGGGGGATGCCCAGGGCCACCAGCTCGTCGACCGTCTGGCCCGACTCCAGCTGCTCGCGCTTCTCTTTCCTGATCCTGGCGGCCTCCGTGCCGTAGTACTTCGCGGTCAGTTGCATCGATGGTACCACGTCGTGCTTGGTGGGCAACTGCACGTGGAGGAGGACCCGGCGGGGCTGAGCGGCACTGGGAAGCACACGATCCAGCAGGGTGGCCACGGTCCCGCCCCTCGTTCGGGCCGCCTCCGCCGCGGGCCACGAGAAGTCATAACGGTCGCAGGCCAGGGACCTTGAGCGGCCGCCTTGGCAGGTCTGACCCTCGACCCTCGAGGAGCGAGAATGGAGGGGGGCAAATGCGTCAGGGAGGTCGTTGGGCCTTGCTTGCCCCTCCTGGGCCTCCAGGGCCTCCGGGGACATGCTCGGACGCCCCGTCTCCAGGATCTGAAGGCGGAAGCAGAAGTCGGCGGGGCCGAAATGGACACGGAAAAAAGGAAACTGCACGATGCTGAATAGCAGAGGTTGCCCGTTGGGCGGGCAACTTTCTGTTTCATGTGCACAACACGGCAAGTCCTGCTCCAAATGGGAAGAAGCTGCTCTCGGTCTTCGTCGCCAATCGTTCCGTACCCACTCCGATCATGTCGAAGAACCTACGCGGCCGCGCCTTGCCCTTCAGAGGCGCCGCCTCGGCCCCAGGGCACTCCGCCGACCACCGAAGGGCGACACACCGTGGGTCGAACAGCGTGCGGCAGCAAGCCCTGGTCGATACGTAAGACCTCCGTTGTGGCACGCAGCGGTCTCGACTTCAGGCGGAACGGAGGGGGAGGACGAGAAGGAGAAGGAGGAGGAGGAGCAGAAGCAGGATGGGGAGGAGGAAGGCGAGGGGAGAGGGAGAAGAGAGAGGTGGAAGAGGAGACCGAGCGTCCCTCGCAAAGCTCCATCCACAATCATCGACAACCCGGGGCACTGTTCGGGAGGTCAGCCGCGTGACGCGCAGCGCGGGTGAAGTCCACCGCCTCGGAGCCCGAGGACACCCATCCGCCTGACCCTATCCGCTTACTATGGGGGAGGCGGGGGAAATGAAGAAGGAAAGCACAACAGAAGCCGAGGAAGGGGGCAAGGATAGGTCGGGCGTGTCCTCCTACAGGCGGAGCTTGGACGAAAAATGGAAAATAGCCCAAAAATGCTCAAAATGTTCACACCTTCACACAGACACACACACACACACACAACATATGTTTGACGATTTGGGAATAATCTCCCTGTAGAGGGGCATGCCCGACCTAAGGCACCCACACTTGGAGCAGCGAAGACGGCAACAGCCGTGCCAGCAGCCGGGGGCCGCCAGGGTAAGGAACAGCGGGGGGGAAGGTGTGGGGGGGGGGAACGAGGAGGTGGAGGAGAAGCGGCGAGAGGAGAAGAGGTCGGGGGGGAAGCGAGGAGGTGGAGGAGGTGGTGGAGGAGGTGGAGGTGGAGGCGGAGGAGGAGGAGGAGGAGGAGGAGGAGGAGTGGAGGGAGGGAGGGAGGGAAAGAGGGAGAAAGGGAGGAAGAGAGGGAGGGAGGAAGGGGGGAGAAGAGAGGAGACCCGCCCAGGATCAGACGGCTCTAGGGCCACCCGTACGATCCGCCCCTCCTCCAGGTCTATCACCTCCTCGAAGACACCACGGCGCCTGCCGTACAGGAGGTTGCTCCCGATGGCGAGGCAGCAGTGGCCGCCTGGACCCTCCTCGAGCTCCTCCTCCTCCTCCTCACTCGTCGACCGCATGGGCCATCGGGGTCCGATTGGCTGGCACGGCGCTGAGGCAGTCCAGGGCTGCCCTCACTCGCCGCGGCGGCCGTGCATCGCAGTAAGATGGCCAAGCACGGTATGCTATCATCCTCCTCCTCCTCCTCCTCCTCCTCCTCCTCCGCCTCCTCCTCCTCCTCCTCCTCCTCCTCCTCCTCGTCCGCCTCCTCATCCTCCTCCTCCTCCTCCTCCTCCTCCTCCTCCGCCTCCCCCTCAGCTACCTTCAACCTTCTTTACCTTCTCCTCTTTCTGGCCGTGCCTCTGCATGAACCTCTCCTGTTTGCTCTGGGCGGCTGACAAATCTGCGCAAGTGTAGCGCATCGCAACGTCGCAACCCTGCATAAATGCTCAGCCGGTAGATTGCGACCCGTAGATTGCACCGCGGAACTTACACCCCGCAAGTTGCACCACATAGGCCACTGTTTGGGATCCATGCGCTAGTATCATTTCCTGTGACAGAAACAAACTCGAGCGAATAGTGGAAGTAACGCAGGCTGGGATTGGGCTGCGCCACAGAAACACACAATCCATGCCGTGGCGGACCAGACCCATCCACACACACACACACACACACACACACACACACACACGCACACACACACACACAGACACACACACACACACACACACACACACGCACACACACACACCTACACATACTACACTACACTACACTACACTACACTACACTACACTACACTACACTACACTACACTACACTACACTACACTGCACTGCACTGCACTGCACTACACTACACTACACTACACTACACTACACTAGACTAGACTACACTACACTACACTACACTACACTACACTACACTACACTACACTACACTACACTACACTACACTACACTACACTACACACACACACACGCGCACACACACGCACACACGCACACACGCACACACGCACACACACACACACACACACACACACACACACACACACACACACACACACACGCACACACACAAAGCACGAGACCATCAAACTTTGCAACCAGATGCCTGTCGTCGGAACCGGGAAAGCACGAGGCACACGCTGCACCCACGATGGCGTGTAACGAGGCAGCACGACCAGAGAGGCAACCAGGAGACATCTGGGCATCGCGACGGGCCATGTCCCTACCAGGTAATCCCCCCATCAAGTTTGAAAAAGAAATGTGTGTGAAGCCTGGAACAGCGAATTTCGTAGAAATGGCTGCTACGTACATGCCTTTGCCCAGAGTCCAGATCGGTGGAGTTCATACAACGCATGACAACCTTCACCCACAAGGAAAAATCCCAGACAATGAGAGCGCTCAGCTGTAGCATGTAACCCGCCATGGCCTGAGAACTCGCCTACCCAGCGGGCCAAATGCCTGCTCAGATCTCCGGTAAGAGGCTCAGGGTTTTGTGTTATTTGTTCGGGCGCACCGGGCGGCCCTTGAGGGAAAGTGTTCCAGCAAGGTCCCGGCAAAGTCCTGGGAAACTCCTGGGAAACTCGTGTCAGAGATGCGACCCTCAGCGCCCCCAAGACAGCCCCAGGATGGCCGCAAGGGAGCTCCAGCAGAGCACAAGAACAGCCCAGGAACGGGGATCGATGGGTGGCCCAAGATGGTCCCAGACAGCTCTCAGAAGCCCCCAGGAGGACAAAATCATCAAAAAAAAACATGGCGTTTCAATGATTTCGGTTTCTCGCCTTCTTGCTTCCTGCGGGCTTCTCAAGCCTTACGATGGCTCCGCGAATCGCCCGAGGTGGGGCCCGGACGAGCCACAAGAGGGCTCCGAAGACTCCCCTGAACGCCAGGAGAGGCCCACGAGAGCGCGAAGAGGTCCCCAAGATGGCCCCAAGACATCCCCGAGGGGCTCCAAGATAGCCCTGAGGTGGCCCCAGA